CAAACAGCGGCAGTTTTAATTTTCTTTTTTTTTTCTTTGTGTAAAACACACAAAAAAACCCCCCCCCCCCCCCCCCCCCCCCCATAATAGAAGCCCTCAGGGGCTTCTAAACTGTCCATCATCCAAAATTTTCGGAGGGGGCTTCTATTAAGTCCCAAATTTTTTCAATAGTTTTAGATGTAAAAAGAATTTTAAAGAATTTCAGGGATTTTTAAGGTTTTCTAGAGTTTTTCAAAAGATTTCCATGGAGATTTCGAGATTTTTATGCTAGTACATAAGAAAATTAAACAAATTCTTATCTTAAGATCTTGAATTTTAACGGTTTTGCGATAAAAATACTAAGAAATTTTTCAGAAAGTTTGTAAAATAAGGAGGGCTTCTAATACATCTTTCATATCGGTCCTTCGGAGGAGGCTTCTAATAAGGGAGGAGCTTTTAATATGGGAGGCGCTTCTATTATGGGAGGGGGTTTAGCAAACAATGAATGTATTTTTCTCTAACAAATCTAATGCATTCTACACTTTCATGCAATAATTCTTGCATCTAATGTATGATCAGCATCGTCTTAGCCATATAACAGCTGAAACAGCCTTAAAAGATCTCATGTAGAACTAAAATGGAGATGAGATGCATCTAAATACAGCTTAGCTCAAAAAAATGGTGATGAAACACCCTTAGTCGCGTTTCAAAGACGCGTCCAGAGATAGTTAGATGAATAGATACGTCAATTAGATAGGGTTTTCGGTCTATCTAGAATTGCACCATTGTCTATTATTCTCGAAAGACATCGATGAAAATAGATTATTATCAACCATCTTTAGGACTTTAAGTGTTTCAATTCAACATACTTTTCGATCTGTATCGTATTTTTGAATATATTTTATTTATATAATTCAACTACAGATAAATTAGAATAAGATTTAGCATTCATACCGTTATAGTCACCACCATAATTGTAAAAAATGATCGCTATATTCGAATGTATAGCCATCATGCAATATTTTATCATGGTCAATCATCGTTCAAAATTTTTCGACCATCTCTTCATTTATATTCCGAATTAATAATGAGAAGAGATGGAAACTACTGTTTGACAATATAATTTGTGCGAAGTATTCAAGAGTATCTTTTTGAACCTTTATGTCGAGATGCGGTATGTGAGAACAGAGAAGGTCTTTGAGCATATTGTTATCTGTACCACCGATGATTACTTTTGTTATTTTGTTCTTGAACACCAAATGAGCAAATTGAGCTTCTTGTCTGACAGATTGAGTACTTACGTGATTTAACGAATGACAATAGAGACTCAATGAATCAAGATTAGGCACAGAACAAAGCATTCTAATCAACATACTAGTGTCAAGATTGGAATACGAAATATATAACAGACGAATCTGTGTCAAAGGAATACAGTGATTAAGATCAGTAATGAATTGATCTTTATGCTCAGAGCAAAGGTACTGAAGACTGAGCGATGTAGCACGTGCAAATTGGATTGAACAATTTGGAATCAGGTGATAACATTCAATACTGATCTTTTGAGTCAAATTGAGAATAGTTTCACGACATGAACATGTGTCTTGGTCTGTACATTCGAAAATATCGTATAGCTTTCTCCTAAATAAAGATAGATAAACATCACAATCTGAAAATATTTCATCTGCACCTATACGTTTGAGTTGAATAGAATTTCATACGATCAAATTGCGAGCAATGTTGATGCGCAAAAAATCCATCCTCGTTCAATCGAAAATGATGAAACAAATTGATTAACCATTGCATGATATACTTGAATATTTTCAACAAAATTAGAAGATCCAAAAGATAATATTCGTATGTTCTACCTCTTTTCATCATTTATTCCTAAAAAAGAAAGATTTATATGTAGTAAGACAATGTTTATAAACTTACTTTGTTTCTTCTGATCATCTTCATTATCTGACTCAGTAATATTTCGTTCCTGTTTGACTCAATGCATGTAGTGTGTCGATAATTATCGGGAAAAAATTACAAAACTGCTGATTTGATGTAAGATGTCGTCTTCTTTATTTTTTCTGTTCTAATAGATTGTGCACAAAAGTAAATGTCTGATGTTCTAGAATTCTATTATTTCATTGTTTCAAAATAAAAAAACATGTATTCAAAAGGATACTAACGATTTTCAAAACTTTCTCAGAAATTTATTAAATTTAGCATGTAACTGGAACTTGGAATGATATCCATGCATTCATAAAATGAGAAGTCTGAAGCTGTTTGTATTATTTATTAGAATATTGACCATTGTAAAAGAAAATAATTGAATATTCAACAATATTTATCCAAAGATATCAAAATTTCGACCAGGGTAGTGGGTATGGGTTTTGCTATATAATCAAATATCCACACCCACACCCACAGCCACACCTAAACCCATCTTCACTCTCTTTTAACCAAATCAGCTAACGTTTCTAATAATAGAGGAGAGTTTTACATTTTATTCTTATAAGAGAAGTTCACACGTATTCATTTGAGAAATGTGTAGAGAACTTTTTTAGTCAAACATATTCACAGAGGTTTTTAGCTTTCAATGAGTGTTTTTGGGAAGATGTTTTTTGACAGTTTCATGATAGAGACTTTGTTCTTTCGAACAAGAAAACGGTCAAATCTCCATGGGAAATGGTTATCATGCTATACGTAAACGAAATGAAAGTAAAACTTTTGTCCTATCTGATAAATTATGTGTGATGAATGATGGGTGATGTGAAAGTCTTGATCGATCTCAGAAAAATTACTCATTCTCCCTTATTACAAATTCTTAAACGTTCGAAATTGGTTGGCTAATCTCTTGTAATTAGACGAATCTTACCCTAAATCTATATGTGTTCTTGTGTCATGATAGAACTAAACTTCAACTTTTTAGAGAGTATAAAATAATACTTTCAATCTTTTCTCGAGCATCGGACGTGTCAAGTAATAATAAGAGTCTACCGATCTGTTTGTAAAAGAAAAGTACACAGCGAATTCTAATAGGATGTACTACTACAGTAGTAACATCTCCTATATCCAAAATAAATCATCGTTTATTTCATTTGATTATGTTCTACTAGCGATATTCGATTATTTCTAGGGACATACCAGCTTTTCTATATAGCAATAGCTTCCAGTGTCCTAGTCATTCTAGATAGAGCTCATCTAGTTGTACTTGGAACTCGTTTTAAATGCTTGAAACAGATTCCTGGGCGAATCACTGCTGGAATTACTCGAATTGGGTGCCAACTTCACCTACGTTTCTAGAATTTCTCTAGTCACTTTCTTTGAGTATTTCGTCTGCTTCATAGTTCATTTGAAGGCAAGAATAATCAGCGTTAGAGAGTCGAGCGAACGACATATTATTTTTAAAACAAATTACTCAAGGATAGAGAAAATGAATTCGTCATATCCAAGTATTGAAAAAAGCGTTACAGACGTTACTATTTGTTTACATCATGCAAGATTCTCAATGAAATTTCTGTTGTGCGTCACCAAGAATAAGAAGAAAAGAAGGCACTTAATTTCAAACTGAAATGAAGGTCTAGTGAGTCTTTAGAATAGTTAACCATCACCTGTACCATATAGATTCCTTTTTCTTTGAAAGTGGATCGTGAGAGTCTTTTGCTGAGATGAATCTAGGTCTTTAGATCCAAAGGTCACGATACATAACTGTATACGACTGAATTATTCTAAAGATCCCTTAGATCCATCTCAGAAAAAAAAGGTGTGGCTACAGAATATATGTGATGGGGAATTAGTCCGTCTTTTTCATCCTTTTACAATGTTTATTATTTAATTTTGTTATTATTATCTTCTATCTTTTATCTTCTATGTGCTTGTCACTTATTTTCCATTTCTTTATCTTTATATTACAAGCGCTTATAGATGTAATAAATAAAAGCGTATAATGTTGTTTTTCTTATTGGTTATTTCATCAATCTTTATTCTTGTACGAACAGTACCTATTGAACAATCTAATTCGACAACAACTTTCAGTACTGATAAGTAAAATATCTTCATTTTGAAATGAATATTTTTTGTTTGATAGAATCGACTGAAATCTAGATTACCAACGAATGGTTCTTCACTTGATTTTCGACTTTTACCCTATATTGGTAATGGTCATATAGCTACTGTCGTATATAGTGATGTTATTTATATGAATGGACTTTATAATGGTGAAAATGGTTTGTATATTGTTTTTTTTTCTTGGTTTTTATTATTTTTCAATTAAAGGTACCAGTCATCGAGCACATATTCCAAGTGCATTGAATTGGGAATTTAAAATAAATTCATCATCATCATTATATACTTTAAATGTTTCATCAGGTAAAAAATTTTTTTCTTAGTCATTTTAATTTTATTATATTCGTAGGTATATTCATTGAAATACTTGAAAATGATGAAGTTCGAATTGAACGACGTTTCTTTGCTTCACAAGAATATACTGAATTATTACTTGCTCATGTAGTACTGATTCGAAAAGCACCTAAAGGTTAAATTTTCAATATTTATTTCTTTTATTTAGTATGTTACTATAGGACAGAAAATTATTGTACCTATTGAAGTACATGAACAAACAACGAGTATTGATATTGATTTTGCTAATGCAACTCGTTCTTCTCAATATGTGTAAATAATACTTGATCTAATTTTATTTCACTATTCATTTTCCTTATTAAAGTCTTTTATCTGGTAAAACACGTGAAATTGAAAATAGTCAATTTCAAGTAGAACCATTGCCTGTATTCGTTTATTTTACACCATTACCTATTCAAGGATTAGAACTTGATCAAGAAGAAACAAATCGAACATATCTTTTTGTTACTTCAATTGATGAAAATCAAACAATAGCTAAACAAAGTTTTGATTATGGTAAGCTACTATCTTAAGATAGAAAAAAATATTGATTATTTTCAATAGCAACAAGTGAGCAACAACCAGATGCTATTTTATCATCACATATATCACGATGGAATGATGTATGGTCTAATGGACATATTGATATAGAAGGAAATGATGAATTACAAAGACAAATCAATTCTGCTTTTTATTATATTTTAAGTTCTCTACCACCATTATCGACGAAAAGTAAACCGAAACAATTTTATGGTTTAGGTCCTGGTAGTCTTGCATGGGGTGGACAACTAGGAGAAGCTTATAGTGGTCATGCATTTTGGGATATGGAAATATGGATGTATCCATCAGTTCTTCTTTTCTATCCGACGTAAGTAAAACAACAGTAATTGTGTTGATTGATGAATTCTTTTTATTAGATTGGCTAAAGAAATATTATCATGTCGAATTGCTCTACATGATGCTGCAGCTTATAATGCTCGTCTATTTGGTTACGAAGGATGGAGGTATCTAATAAATTATCTATATTTTTTTTTGGTTATAATAGAATTCTTGTGAATAAGATTTCCTTGGGAAAGTGCTAGAACTGGTGTTGATGTGACAAACGATTGTTGTCCTTTTGGTCGATTTTATGAAATGCATATTACAGGTGATATTTCATTTGCAGCTGGACAATATATTGCGGCTACAGGCAATCGAGATTGGTTATTGAATGAGTTTGGTGGAGAATTAATCTATGAAACAGCTCGATTTTGGGCTTCACGAGTGATATATAATAATCAGACAAAACAATATGAAATATTAAGTAAATCACTTCTCTGAAGTACAACTATTTCATGTTGTATTGTATTTTCTGGTAGATGTTTTATCACCAGATGAAGATGCTCAACCATTTAAAAATAATACTGTTTATACAAATGCACTTGCTTCACTTTCTATTCAATTGGCTAATAATGTTAGTTGTATTACTAATAAAACGATACCTCAAAAATGGTTGAATATTGCATCTAATTTATATTTTCCTTTCGATAATTCAACTCAAGATTATCTTGAATATGAAGGTTTTAATTTAAGTCAGTAATTCACTTGATAGACTTTATTTCAAAGAATTCATCATATCTGTCTATATAGAGAATACTACTATTAAACAAGCTGATGTTATTCTTTTTGGATTTCCATTGATGTGGCCAATGAGTGATGAAGTGAGACGAAATGATTTATTAGTTTATGAAGGTTTAACGCGTCTTGATGGACCTGCTATGACTTGGTCGATGTATTCGATTGGATTTATAGAATTCGGTGATTTTGATAAAGGTGACCAACTATTTAGACGTTCGTATCAAAGCTATGTACAATCTCCATTCAATGTTAGTTATTTTAATATTTTTTTTTGTTCATTTTTTTCATCATTTTATTTGGATATTATAGGTATGGACAGAAACTCAACAAGGTACTGGTGCAGTGAATTTTATAACCGGTATTGGAGGTTTTTTACAAGCTGTTCTTTTTGGCTACGGTGGTATTCGTCTAAAATTAAATCAACTTGAATTTTATCCCCATGGTCATCTACCAGATCAAGCGACTAAATTCATCTTTCATGGTATTAAATATCAAGGATTTGTTCTTGATTTGACCATTGATAATAAGATGTATGAAATTTTTGTCAATGCACTGAACAACAATGATTCCATTCCTCTTGTATATGAACATGGAGAGCATCGTGGATTCCTTAAACTAAATGACCGTCTTTCATTTCCCATTGATACGCTTCTTATTATTCGTCGATCAGTCGCTCTTTGCCCTTGACATTATATTTCATTGTCTAATGTTCGAATGTCGATATGAATATTTTTCATCCCTTTAGAGTTTACAACATATTCATGTGAATATTCACCGCAATCATGAAAATGATTTTTATTGGAATACAATGAGAAAAAAAAAAGAATAATCTAAATGTATGAAATACGTGCACTTTAAATTTTCATATCGTTATTCATCTTTTCTTTTGTGATGATATAGATTAGATGAAAAGACTAATACACATGATTGGTTGTTTTATCACTCTTGCGTAATAAGAAAAGAAACCTTACTATGTATGGGTCGTCATATTTATATGTGTTTATCGAAAAATCTTTTTAATATTTTCAAAAAGAATCAAGTAGATAAGAGATATCATAATACCTACAGTAGTTTGAGCTCACGATATCCACTGGAGTAGCCATCTCCATATTCAAAAGATCCGGTATATCTATCTACTCTAAAAGGGTGTGGGTGTGTGGTTCAAGACAAGATTGAAACCTACACCCCACACCCACACCCATCCATTATTATTATGAAATTAATTCATTGTAAAACCGCCATTTTTTTTACCATAGACAGAGCTCATCGAGAGCTACAAAATGATGAGCTCTGTCTATGGTAAAAAAATGACAGTTTTACAATGAATTAAGTTCATAATGATAATGGATGCCACCCATGTAAATATTTTTTGCCTCAAAACGCGTCTGAAACGCGTTTCATTTGCGTGCGAAACGCTAAGAGTGAACGCGTTTGAACGCGTCCCCAGTGAAACAAACGGAGCGTTTAAACGCGATTTATTTTAGAAACGCGTGTGAATGCGCTTCTAGCTTGACTTGCGTTCAAACGCATTTTTAGTGAAAACGCGTCCCAGATGAAACATTTAATGCGTCTGGACGCGTTTCATAAAAAAACTAAAAATTTTGAAAAAAATATGATAATCCATTTCAGATTCGAACTGAGTTGCCACCATCAATATTTTTTGATGGTCTTAGCCTTCCCTGGCAAATGGATTAGATTTTACCTTAAGCGACGACGATCAGATTTGAACAGATGAACCAGTGATTAGAAGTCGTTCATACATACCGCTGAGTTATACTAACTCGAAATCTTGTCTTATTCAAAATAAAATATATTTGAAGACGAATTTCATCGGTTAAATACTTTATTTTAACAAGATGTATTTTTTTCGAATTCAAGAGTCTTAACACGTAAGATGACTTTTCAGTTATTTTTTTAAATAAGTTTTTTATTTTTTTAATAAAATAACATCTTTTTTTATCATCTACTACACATAAAAAATATTACGATCTTTTTTATTGCACTGGTAATATGATAAATAATTTTATCGAAAAATTTAATGAATAGATAATTATTGACAAGCAATTTAGTAGAAATATATGATGAAAAGTTACTAATAATATTATTTAAATAGTAGTATTTAACAATATTCTGAAAGGGCATTGCATAGCTGGAAACTATTACAATATTATCTAACTATTTTTCTTACAAACTTTAGAGAAATATGGACTGTTCACCCTATGTTTAATTGAATTTTGTCTATTTTAACGTCATCTCGACATTCTTTATTAGAAGTCTAATGAAGTTTAGATGAATAAAACACATGTAAGCTGATGATTTTGATTATGCAGTTAACTCTTCTAGAGCAGCAATTTTTGGGTAAAATCGCGTCCGATACACAAAAAATAAACACTTTCAAAGGCACTCGAAAATATGATTGCGTCCTAACGCGAGCGAAAAACATATTTAAGACACGTTTGAACGCAGTTCGTAAACAAAATTTTTTTAAACGCATTAAATTTTTTTCTGAAACGTGTCGAAACGCGGTTCATTTTTTTCTGATTGCGTTTAAACGCCTTGTATAGAAAACCTGCGTCCAGACGCGTTTCAAAATTTTTTCTAACTGCGTCTCAACGCTTCTCATATTACACCACGTTTGAACGCGTTACGTTAAACTCTTATTAAACACGTACAAACGCAATTTCAATATGAAACGCGTTGAGACGCGGTTCATAGTTTTTTTACAATTGCGTTTCAACACGTTGCATACAACAACTGCGTTCAGACGCGTTTCAAAAGTTTTCTAACTGCGTCTCAACGCGTTTCATATTAAAAATGCATTTGAATGCGTTGTGAACCCGTTTTTAACTGCGTCTAGACGCGTTTTGTTGTGAAACCACGTTTCAACGCATCGATCTTGCGTTTCGTGATTACATGGGCAGTTCTAACTGTACAGTAGTTGTCAAAATTTAGTTTAGTAATAACTAGACAGCAATTGCAGAATGTCTACCAAGCAGAATTGAGAATTCTGTGGACTTATATATTTTTTTAAACACGCATTCATCAACACGCACAAGAATTCTGCTGTTACCTTCTTATTTCTCAGCAGAATTCTATGTTTCACAAGACCAACTTTAAACGACATAGCGATCAAAGGATAATACTATTCTTTTCTGGTCTAATTATATTCTGCCTAGAATTCTATATTATCAAAGACGATGCATTCTATTCTGGTCTGTTTAAATTCTGCTCAAAATTCTATAGAATTCTGTGTTCTTACAACCAGTGTTGCGCGTATATAATTCTAATATCGGCGCCAAAATATAAGGCAGGTGGCTGTTTTTTGAATAACTCAAAAACCACAAAAGATATCGGTCTAGGATTTCGAGCAATACAAAGAGAACACTCTAGACTACATTTTTACTAGGAAACTCAATTCCTAAAAACCTTTCGATACCAGAGTTTTGAACAATTTTCTGAAAAACAATGATTTTGCTTAAAAAAATTCGGATAGAAATCTATCGTTTTTTTCATAGATAGATAGCCTTGGGTCTCCTCTACAGTTCTTTATTAGAAGTAAGTGGTTCTTTGCTTTTCCTTTCAGCTGCAGACAATTTTTTCAAAGCATTAAGATCTACCAATTATTAAGGCTAGCAGTTTTCAAAATACTTGAAAATATACTTTATCGACTATGCTGAATCTTGTAGCGATGTTTATTTTATTTTTCGG